TCCACTTGTCCGTGATGAAAAAGTAAATTCTGGAGTAGGAGAGCTGAGAGGGGGAGTAGTAGGTGTAGTCTTTTTCTGTACTGTGATGGCATCGCCAGATGTCGTAGAGGTCATTTTTGTGTAGAAAGACGTTAAACGATTGTTTGGAGGAGCGTTTGCTAGAAGAAGAGTCCAGGAGTGGGTTGCCGATAATGTTGAAGTCTTCTCCTATAATTAGTCTGCCTTGTTTCTGAGCGGAAATAGTGGAATTGATTTTGTTGTAGAATTGGAGTTGATTGGTGTTTGGACCATAGATGTTGACCAGGGTGTACAGGATTCCATTAATTTTGCATATCAGGATATGGTAGCGCCCTTGAGGGTCTGCGACTTCTGAGATGCAGTGGTATTGGAGAGAGTCTCTAATGGCTGTGATGACGCCGTTCTTCTTTTTGGGGCTGGTTGCCATATAGATTGGAGAAAAATGGTGTAAGTGAAATTTGGGGGTTTTGTTGGTGGCAAAGTGGGATTCTTGAAGGAATAGGACATCAGCCTGCAACGAGCGAGCTTCTTTTTGTAGTAGAGATCTTGTGAACGGTGAGTTGAGGCCACGGACATTTAAGATGATATTTTAATCATAGTCCTGGATGTAGGCGAGTTGTTCGAAGTAGCAGAGGTATTTCATGGATAATGTAGAGTAATGGCATATCTTTTTGTTGTTTTTGAGAAGTTTCCACAAAGAAGAGGTAATGTGCTGGATGTGGTCGCTGGTTTGATGAGGATGTTTCATCTTGTAGGACGTTATTTCGAATGTGGAGAGGTTGAGTCAATCGACTGGTATAGGTAGGAGGGTAAGGGGGTAAAAAAAACTTGTTGAAAACACAAGTGGTATGTGTAGCACTTATTGCTACTATGTAACGGGGGGATTTGAACATACATGACTTACATGGTAAGTCATGTTGACGAGTAACTTGGGGTTCGATGATGGTCGTAATGGGGCCGTCTGCCAGCCATTAGTGGTTGATAGGGTCCCAGCTTGTTGTGTGGTTGGTTGTTGATGGTGGTGATCTTAGGATCTGGACCATTCTGCTTCCATGTGTTGCGTATGGTTGGAGGTGGGTTGGTGGGAGTCCGCTGATAGGATCTTCCAAACTTTCAAGAGGTTCGATGCCTGCTTCAAGAGATTTAATTGTAAAGAACCTTCCTTGTTGTTTAACAATGACCTTTGTGGGGAAACCCCATTGGTAGCCAATTCCGTGGTTCCACAGCGCTTTTGTTATGGTGACAAGCTTCTTGCGGTTTAGAAGAGTGGCTTTAGATAGGTCTGCAAATAATTTTATATTTGCTTGGTCTGGCGGTAGTGATGCAATGTAATGTTTCTCGTGGCTATCGTAATTTTTTCTTTCACATGGTAAAAGTGGATGCGTGCCAGGATGTCCCTAGGGACTGCGGCCGTAGGAACGATGGTTTTGGTAATCTGTGCGCACGATCTATAGCGAGCTCTACATCTGATAGGGAAGGAATGAGGTGTTTCATGTATTGTTGTAAAATATGGTTCTATGGTGTCCAAATTGATGTTTTCTAGGATTGCGTGGAATTTGATGTTGTTCCGCTAGAGCGGTCTTCAGGATCCGCTAGTTTGAGGTTAATCTGTTCTATGTCGGTGCCCTGGTCGGTGTATGCGTCTATTAGGTCGTTGTGAGCTGCGAACATTTCCCCCATTTTATTTTCAATATGGCGATACGGTGGTCCTGTCGTTGTACCGCGGTTGAAATTTGCGATAGTGTCGTCGTCAGGTCATCATGTAATGTTTGTCACAGTGAGAGAAGCATACTGTTCATAGACAGTTCAGTGATAGGTTGGTCTGAAGCAGGAAAATTTTCTATTAAGGATGGAGTAGAAATAGCAGAATTGAGTGTAGAATAGGAAGGCTGAGTGACAGGAGGATTTTCTATGTCCAGCCTAGGTCTGGACTTAGCAGGGCTACTTGTGGTGGGAGACAGGGGCGTAGAGGACTCACCAGGGTCTCCAGGGTATAATGTTTGAGCCTGGGGTCTGTGGTGTGCTCTGGTCTCCATTCTGTCTGTAAGGCATCTGTCTGTGAGAGCCGGCACCATCTTGCCTGCAGGGGCTGAGAGCTGGGAAAAAGCTTGTCAGCTTTCCTGGCTTCCCTGGTGATCTGCGGCATCGGGGCATATTCCCTGGGGATCCAGTGGAGACCTGCGTCCCCTTATCAGCGTGGGGAGAGGTCAGTGCCGCTGCTGGGATTGGTGAGTGCCGGGTTATTGCTGGCGGGGATGCGGAGCTCTCTTCACGGAGCTGTAATCCCAGAGCCGGCCGCGCATGCGCCCCCAAAAATATGATAAACTTTGAGAATAATTCACATAGTGAGGTGAAAATGGTGAATTAAAGAAAACCTGAAGATACTATTTACCCGGATATACTATATGATTCTCATGGTTTACTCCAAGCAGGAGTTGCCTGGAAGCTACAATTTGCCTCAATGATGAATCCAATTCACCAAAAAGTAATTTGGTGGTTGACTTACCAGTACACACAGTTACAAATGTTAAATCATGTGGCAAAGTGGTTGACATACCAGTATATACCTCTGTCAGTGCTAAACAGGTCCTTCTAAACCTGGCTGACAAACACTGCTTAGCATTTCAGATGCAACAGAGGCAGTGTTGTCAGCTCAAAAAGTAATTTATGAACTCAAAGGATTTCTGGCAGGATCAATGGGCATTTTTCTGTACAGAGAAAATTCAAGAGCCCCACCCAGTGCACAGGAGGAGTAACTACTCATATATCTACAAGTTACATTCCCCCTGTACCAGGCAGGGGCCTTGTTCATCCACTGTGGATAGTCCAGACTTGTCATCTGAAAAATGTAAAGAAATATTGTTAGAGCAAAATATAGAAATGATCTGTGAAATGCAAACATGAATAGGGAATGTAACAGGACAAAATGCATGTGGTCAGTTCTGAATATCTATATAGAAAAACTGAGTATCCTGGAGTAATAAATGAAATCACCGATTGTGGTTCAGTTAAAAAGGTTACAAAAATGTTTAAAAGGTTCCGCCAAGAGGTTATATGACAGATTGTGGTTGTGTAAATTACAAACTATCCACAGAGTAGACAAATCTAGTCAAAAAGACAAAATAAAAATGGATAGAGACCTACAGCAACCAAAAAGCAACCATCCTTCACTGATCTGACTGCTCTAGATTCATAAATAAAATGAATGACGAAGGCTCTCTCTCATAATGTACTATAAATGGTCTTGGCAATGCCATAATAAAATACTAACAATTTCAAATATTTTACCGCAAACTTCTAATATCATATCCAACAATAGTCCTGTTATTACCATTGTTAGCTAGAAGGACTTTAGTATCGGCCCCTTTGATTCAAGCTTCACTTTAAACTTCTGAACTACAAGGCCTAACCCAACCCCTTTGTGAGTTGCTAACAAGAGTTCTATCACTGACGTACCCCCCCCCCCCCCCCCATCTGAGATGAAAGTGAAGGCTGCATAATGCAAGTATGTAGGTATAGACTGCACCCCTGCCATTCTTACAACAAAAATGTAGAGTTGGGATGAAAGGTTTAGTGTGTTACAACATTCTTGGTAGATTGGTAATACATTTTATAGAGATCTGCAGATCAGAAGAGGTACAGAGAGCCTCTAAAAGAATATAATCCCTCTATAGGAAGATAAGGTGGCGGCTATTTATTGACTGAAACTGGATTGCTTTAGTATCAAAGCAAAATCAGTGATGGATATTGTGGTGGAAAAGTGATGACTTAGTGCTGAACTGCTAGTGTGACATGGCCCTAAAAGATTAAATTGTGAATTGAGAAAGGCACATACCTGGGGAAGTTGGCCATATGTGATGTTCTTTCAGACGCACCATCACTCATGATTCTTCTTCATCCAATGTTTACCTCTGCACCAACAAGTAAGGAGAACTCATCATCGAATATGATCAGTGCTTCTTCCATGTCATCCTTCTGGGGCAATGGAGTCATCTCAGACTGAGATACAGAAGTGTCTGTGGTCAAAAAGTAAGACAAGGACGTGTTAGTAACACTACGCTGTGAGGTGTTCAGGTGAGAAATGGAGGTTACCTCAGATTGTACAGAGCTGCTTTTGATGGGATCCTCATCTTCTTGTCCTGTGATTGCATCTGGGATTCTTCCTTCCAGCTTTCGTTCATGTATTTCAGGATTTCTGTAGATTTACTTCTTTTAGAAAAGTCAATGGCCAAAAGATCACCAAACATCCTTCTTATTCCAGTTGAAATCTTTCTCCATGCTTCAGGAGGATTGTCCATATGAAAATTGTTTTGCCAGTCAACAAAACCTCTATATCCTTCATCTTCAGGCATGGCCACCTGCCATGGATACTCCCCTAGAAGTAGGCAGGCAGTAGATGGTAACACCAAACGCCCACACATCAAGGCAGCCATCTACAACCAGTCCATCCGTAATAATGGTCATGTCACGTAGTTCTGGGGCCATGTAGGTTTTGCTACCACACCTGGATGTTATCACTGTCCCTCTGACCTTCGCAAGGCCAAAGTCTGTGATCTTGATGAAGTGACAGTCCTGTCAAACACCAAAATGTTTTCTGGCTTCAAATCCATATGCACCAGTCCTTTCTCGGATATGAATTCGAGAGCATTGGAGATCTGAAGAGCACACCTCTTAACTGAGTCTTCTGGAATTCCCACCTAGGAATACAAAATCAAAATACAATAGTTGTTAAATACAGTAAGATAGAATATAAAGAGTAATTCAGAATCAGTTAAAGTATAAGCATGGCCATCACTTTTGATCTAGTTTTAGACTAGGAGTGGAGTCTATTGCCGTTTGTTTTCCCCCAAAAAGAGATTCTCTTTTTATAAATGTTCCGGCAATCTCCATCATTAAGACAAAGTGATGGGCATTATTAGTTTTAACTCTCCCTTATCCAAAACTTTAAAAAAAAGGGCATACTGAAACCTTAATGTACTTACGTATGGTGTAATCATGGAGAAGAGATCACCAACAGGGGCTAGTTCCTGGGCAAACACAAAGTAGTCGATGGTGGTGAAGGCGATGCCATTACATCCAATGATATTGGGATGAGATGAAAGAAAGTATGAAACGCAGAACTCCTGGAGGAAAGACCGCTGGCTGGTTCTGTTTTTATCCATGGTCTTCAATGCCATTCTTTGACCTGTAGAAAAAAAATAATTTAACTTTGATTAAGAAATGGGATTTTAGCTGATCATTTTTTCTATCCACTTGAAAATCTCAATATTCGAGCAACGGATCTTTATTAAAATGTTTGAGAATGTATTATGCTTCATTCATAGCTAAATTTCAGCCATCAATCAGCTGTACAAGAACCTTTCCTGGGCTGAAATGTCCTACTCTGATTTCACTGAACACAGCGATAGTCTCTCATTGTGCATCGGAAGCTTCAGCAAGTCATACAGATCCCATCTCGTTTCCTGGCTGGAGGACGTCCAGCATTGTTAGCATCATATCCTTCCCAGCCTGACTATTCCTGGCCTGCCCCTTTCATTCATTATATGTCTGTCCTTTTAATCATGGAGGCTCAGCATCACATGTGATCATTATCTAGGACAGTCTGCATGGAAATACAGTCCACTGCTCCAGACAGATATGTACCCATCAAGGCATTTTAATATTTGCATAACTGCTCCCAAGAATCAGCCCAATGCTTAGTTCCCTAAATCATTCTACCAACATGAAAAAATATTTAAACATGATATATTTATGGAGATTTAATAAATATAAAGTCTATAGTGTACAAATGTACAAACATATACATACATATTTGCAGAGGATACTGAAACGGTACTTAGAATAGTTCACTGACCTGTTATCTTGTCCTTTGCCAATAAAACTCTTCCATATCCACCTTCTCCAAGTTCCTTCATAATGGTGAAGTACTCCTGTAAGTCTACCTGCTTTATTTCTTGTGAGGGCATAAAATGTGCTCTGAACGTCATCTAAGTCACAACAATAGAAGAACACAGTCTGCTGAACATAATACTACACAAACATTAGATGTTGCCATGGTTTAACTGCACATAACATGTAAACATTCACAGTGCAGGGAGGAAAAAGTATGTGAACCTTTGGACTTAATAACTGGTTGACCTTCCTTTGGCAGCAATAACCTCAACCAAACGTGATCATTCACAGATTTCACTAGTAAGCAATGATGTCAGAAGTGATATCTTGCTTACTACTATTCATGTGATCAGTGATCACATGACTGGGACCTCACACAGAGGTTCCATACAGCGAGCCCAGGGAGCACAGAACCTGAGAATGCAGGCACCATTTATGAATGGCAACCTGCTCCTGCACTTGTCCCGTCTGGCCATTTATGTACATGGGCCAGATGGGAAGTGATTAAGCACAGACATTAAACCTTTCATAACTTTTTTTTTTTTTTTTTTTTTTTTCTTTCTTACAAACTTACATTGGGCTTTATTAGGGAGTAGAATTCCAGCTGGTGCCACTTCCTGGACAAACTGTTTAAAGATCCAGCCGAAGTTAAAGGGGCACTCCACATAGGCTGCTGGTTCCAGGTGTGAGGCTTGTCCGATTTCAGCAAATTGAGACAAGAACTCACTGGTGAGCAGAGCTGATACAGATGACAGCCAGGTAGGCACTCAAACCAGATGCCATATGTACTTGTAAGGTCTTCTGAAAGCAATTCTGCTTTCCAAGGCAGATGAAGATATTAGAATGTCCCTGGATGAACACCTTTCAGAGACCCCAGGTCCCAGAACACTTGCTTGACTTCAAGAGACTTCTTCCACTTTTCTGGTGCGAATGTCAGATCCTTTGACTTGCCACCCAGCAAATTCCCTATACATTGGGTCACAGCCCTCTG